TATATATATATATATAAGATATTTTAAATTTGGTTCGTGTGCTCTATTTATTATTTATTTGGTACTTTTATTTTTACTATTTTGTTGTCATAGATATATAAGATTTAATATGTTCTTCCAATATCTATAAAAATAATATTATAAATTTTGTATTGTGGAAGGGACCAGAGATGGATCCAAAGGAGGGCAGGCCGCATACGTGAGCCTTCCCCCTACGGCCCTACCCATTGCTGCCTTAAATGTTGTGCAGCTCTTTCATTTCACTTACTATCTCAATGAATTGAAAATAATAAAGAATTAATAAATAGTATATTGATTCATGTTCAGACCTTAGGGAATATGTTGGAAAGTTGTAGACAAAGTATCAAAAATTGACTCCCTTAACTTGTAGCATGTAGAAGCTGTAGTTTTACAAGTTGGAAGTGAAATCACGAGTTTAAGTAAGTCGGCTTTTACCTAATGCAACGAAACCATCACCTTCATTATAGTTTCAGCAAGTTGGTTGAACTTGAATATCTTGAGTTTAGCCGTGCAACTCTTAAATTAATTTTGGTAATTAGATGACTAACGATTTGATTTAAAGTAATTTGTGCGTGTACTGATGTGTCTCACCACCTGTATAATTGTTTTAGCAAGTTGGTGTTAGGTTATTTATGTGTGTCCCGACTCCCGCAACCTTCACCATTGTTTTAGTATGTTGGTGGAATGTTCTTAGGTTCAGCCATGATGCTTGGTTAAAAAAAACTCACAGAATGCACGAAATAGTAATGATGCTAATAAAACTGTTACGTAAAACCAGAATCTCTGGAATAAATTGCTCTATTGCCACGAGTCAACTGTGAAACATTAGTGTGATGGTGTAGGATAGGAGGTTTGCTTTTTCACCATCGGCCACTCCCCCTCCCCTGTTCACTGCTTGTATCTCCAATGAAAAATCTTAGGTGGAAATTCATAGAAAAAACTAAAAGCATCACAATATAATCACTTTACAAAGAACGCAATATTACAAGCCGTCGAACATCGGCAAAATGTGTCCTCAAGAGCACAACTGCATCCATGATGCCAATAACGGCAAAAACAGCAGTAGTGAAATACAGCCAGGGACAACACAAAGTCATAGTGGAAAATTTTCTTTTCAAATATAACACATCTGTCCAGGATATTTATCAAATATGCCAAAAAAAACAATACAATATATAAACAATGATTAAAAGAAAAAAAACAAAATTCAAAACTCGTTAACCCATGAGAAGAGTCTCAATGGCTTCAAAGAAAAGTGGTGACATTTCAGGGCTTGGAGTCTTGATTGCACATTTGACGCCAGGGTTTCCAATCACTGTGGTAAGTTCAATTAGTAATGGTATCCCTCTAGGGAGTTTAGCTGAAAAGTAAAACACGTCCTGGTTTGCATTCTTGCGCTTTGCAATAAAGAACGTGTTTGACGCAGCCAGTCGTTCTAGTGTTGCATCTGCACTGCCGATCAAAATGGCTGGGAAGTCCTTCGAAACCTCGTTTGAATCAGGAAGGGACCTCCATGTCTGCAGTGAAGTTAATAATCAGTTTCTCCATTTTTAAGTTATTAATAAGAGAACTGACAGATTTATTTGTGTTAAGGTTTCACAATGGACATGGCCTTCTATGTAACATAGATAACTAAACTGACTAAGCCCATGAAACTATAAAAGAAAACCTATTGCAGTTATACGTCAAAGAATCAAACAAATGGGAAAAAGATATACCTCTAGAAAACTGGAACGTTCCATTCTACCATCCTCGGTAAAAAATACATGTACAGAGATTTTATCATTGAAATACCACACAGGCTGTTGACTGTTTTTCACAGCAACCTGTAAAAGTGAGCTAGGTGGACCTTGCGACATATTCTGAAACATAACCATTGGGAGGAGTGTCCTAGCTGAAGTTCCAGGTTGAACCTGAGGAACCTGAACAAAAGGAATAATCTATAAGAACCTATGTTGACAGAAATATCAAAATAAAAGCCATATATACAATAACAAACCTGCAGGGGTCCGGCAGCTGCCAGACCAAATGTGTTCTTGTTAAATTGAATCATGAAACCATCAAGTGGAACTTGGGTGTTGTTCTCAAACAACAAACTATAAAATATTTGACCATCTTGTCTAGTCAGTTGTGCACTAATTTGTAAACCCTGACCAGTTGAAGCAGGTAGTAAAATAGGTAATGGAGGCCTGCAACCAAAGCATAAGATCTAATTACGCTTGATTTCACAAGCAGAGAATATTTTAATATTTAATATATCAGAATAACACAGTTTATCACTAATTGAAAATAGACTATGCAGTATACTGACTGTCATCCACCCAAAAATTGACGTGTATGTTAACTTGGTTGACTTTCACAATAACCACCTTAATAGTCATATACCTACTATGATTTCCAATTGGTTGACAATGTAAACATTTTCAAACTGACATGCATAGAAATTAAACTCATACAATTTCTATACAAAAGTAACATTCTGCCAATCTTGCAACAAAATATATGTAATACTTGTAAAAAAAAAAAAAAAAAA